GTGCGCACGAAATACTTATTAGCAAAAAAAAGGCGCGCTCGATTTGCTTACCCAGTTGTCCAGGAATGATATTAATATTATTAATTAGTATTTCGTGCGCACGTTAAACTTATTGCGTGGCCACGAAATACTACTTCATGCGCACGAAATACTACTTTGTGGCCACAATTAAACATTTTTTTTGACCATGTCATCAGAGGGGCTCCGTACAATCTCTGTCTTCCTGTTTGGCTGCAAAGCAAACAGTCCTACAGAAAATGTACGCGTGACATTTTAAAGTTTTAAAGTTCATGTTTTATATCCGTTTGTTCGCTGTTATATATTTTTTTTATGTCGTCTGTTATTTTTGACCGTGCTTTTTTTCACTAAGGCACTTTGGTGCTCCATCAGCATTTCATACGGGAAAGTTTCCAGCCACATGCTCTTGTTTTTAGAGCCCTACTATTCTTTGTTTCCTCTGTTGTTTAATGATGTGCGGACGAAGGCTCCTAATGCAGCTTGTCAGCACTATTTCACTGCAAAAACATCTAGAATTAAGTTAAAAAAAATCTTAAATTGAGTGTACTTGCCCTTAATTTGAGTAGATAAATAAGATGATTTGCCAATGGAATTAGTATTTTTACTCTTTAAATAAGATAATTAGATAATATGCACTTGAAATAAGACAAAGCAATTTGTTTTTCTTATTTTAAATGTTAATTGTCTTGTTCCATTGGCAAAGTATCTCAATTACCTCCTCAATTCAAGAAAAAATGCACTTAATTTAAGCAAAAATTACTGCACTTTTTGCAGCGTTTGTTCTGATGTGAGAAATTGGAATTAATTAGGCGAATCTGTCATCACTTATGAAGCCATATTATTTCCTTAACATGGAACGCTTTAGGGAACTGAAAGTCTATCTGAGCATCTGCATACATTGCTTTAGACGTCGTCAGCTTACAAAGTAAAACACGTTCGTATTATTCAGTGATATATAGCAAACATTTATATCTGGTATTTGGTTATGGATTGCTGTTCATTAAACTTTTTTTAAGCCGTGTCCATGTAACATTCACTACACGCTTCCTGTTCTTTATCAAAGCTGATTTTAAAGGCATAGTTGCATGAATACAGTCTGACATTTAAAGTGTCAGCCTTTGCAGAGGTATAAGGAAACTGCGTTGGTTTTATAGCAGCCTCCAGCTTTCCTGGTTATTGGTCATTAAAGCAGCCATCAGCTGTTTTGTAAATTGGTGCCAAATCTTGCTGGAAAATAAAATAAAATTTGCATTTTTAAGATCTTTAGCAGCTGGTAGACAGCTATAGCTCTGAGTTTAGACTTGATAAAATGCTTGCCAAATCATCACTGATTGTGGAAATGCACACTGGACCTCAAACGGCTTGGATTATCTCTCTCCCTACTAAATTTGGAACTGTAATATCTAAATGCGGAAAAAACAACCTTTAAACTGAAAATAGGAATTTAGAACTGTTGCTTTTGGGCTGTTTTGCATCAAGTTTTTCCTTCCACTTATCTTTCCATAATAATTTTTTTTATTAGATGCATTCTTTTGTAAGCAGACAGCTTCTTTAGCAGTGACCTTATGATGCTGTAAAATCTGCAGGTTTCTTGATAATGTTGTCGTCATATAGACCAGAACGGACACCTCTGATATAAATATGTATCTTATGTCATATTCTGCAGCTCATTTTTTTATTGAATTACTTCAGTCATTTATATCCTTTATTTATATACATCCTGTTACATTTGGAAAAAGGGTTTCCGCTTTTAAATCAAGAGTTACTCCCAATTTTATTAGATGGATTTTAATGTCTGCTCTTGTGTTTTTCACCACTTAGAGTCTGCATTCCTCTTTTTTTCCCCCAAAAAAGTTCAAGATTAATTTAAAGTGATGGAAAATGAAGGCTTTTTTTATATGATATTTTGTGTATGAATTTTGTTTAGCAGAGGTAAAAGATGTGGATTTGAAAGCTGTTAGAAAGTGTACATGTCTTTTGTTATGATGAATAAACCTAAACTATTATTGATTATGAATCTGTCTCTTTTTTTAATCATGATACTTTGTGCAAAAGTTTTATTTAAACAGTTTTCTACACCAAAGTTCAATGTTTGGTCTGACGAGGCAGGTATTGTTCTTAATCAGCCAGAAG